AACAAAAAATTTTCAAAAAATCATATCGGCCGTGTTTTTAATCATAATGATATGATACGTAAATGATATTTTGAAGAACAGGTTGCACCACTTAAAAGAGCATGCTTCTCTTTATAAATCAATAAACTTTGAGAACAAATTCTTAAGAATTCAATGTTTCAGGGATTTTGAAATTTATCCAAAATAACGTAAAAGTTACTAACGTTTTTCATCATGTTTAAGAATTAATATCTTTAAAATTAAATGATGGTTTCAAAAACAGGTTGCACCACTTAAAAGAGCATGCTTTTCTTTATAAACCAACAAACTTGGAGAACAAACTCTTAAGAATTTGATTTTTTAGAGAGTTTTAAAGTTATCCAAAATAACGCAAAAGTTACTAACATTTTTCATTATGTTTAAATATTAATATCTTCAAAACTAAATGATATTTTGAAGAACGGGTTGCACCACTTGAAAGAGCATGCTTTTCTTTATAAATCAACAAACTTTGAGAACAAACTCTTAAGAATTTGATTTTTCAGACATTTTTAAAGTTATCCAAAATAACGTAAATGTTACTAACATTTTTCATAACGTTTAAGGATTAATATCTTTAAAATTAAATGATATTTTCAAACGCGGGTTGCACCATTTGAAGGAGCATGCTTTTTTTTATAAATTAACAAATTTTGAGAATAATTCTTAAGAATTCGATTTTTCAGGGATTTTTAAAGTTATCCAAAATAACGTAAAAGTTACTAACATTTTTCACCATGTTTAAGAATTAATATCTTCAAAACTAAATAATATTTTCAAAAACAGGTTTCACCAGTTAAAAGTGCATGCTTTTCTTTATAAATCAATAAACTTTGAAAACAAACTCTTAAGAATTCGATTTTTGAGAGAGTTTTAAAGTTATCCAAAATAACGCAAAAGTTACTAACATTTTTCATCATATTTAAGAATTAATATCTTTAAAACTAAATGATATTTTCAAAAACGGGTTACGCCAGTTAAAAGAGCATACTTTTCTTTGTAAATCAATAAACTTTTTATCATTTCACTAAATTTATAATGGTAGATTTGTTCAATATGTGAGGTTAAGTCGATGTGACGTTAAGTTTTTGACATAACATTAAATGAATCGTAGAATTTTTCTAGTCATCACGGTTTTTGAGTTATAAAGAGTTAAGTATTTTAGAAGTTGAGTATTCAGTATTTGAGTTGTATTTATAATAAAATTCAAAAACCGTGATGATTAGAAGATTTCTACGTACACATTGGATTTCACGTGAAAAAATCTATTAGAACCCATTCTTACTTTTTTACTAAGCTTCCGGATAGCTGAGATACAGGAGGTGTCTGAAAATCGTAAACTTCAAACACTCCCTGTATATCAAAAACGAAGAGGGCTATGAAAATTTTTGTTGCGCCTTATAAGTTTCACAAAAAAGTAGCTTAGGGTCGCGAAAGCCGCAGTCGAAGAAAGCTTACCAGGCATAAACGCAGAGACTCGCAAAATGTAACACGAGAGACGGAGGAGCTGAAACGTGCCAAAAAGCTGCTAAAAGCCGCAATCTGGGAAAGCAAGAAGAAGAAGTGGGAGGAGATGCGGGAAGACGTTAATCGCGACCCATGGGGCCTGGGCTATAGGGTGGCCGTGAAAAAACTCGGTCACGCTTCTGCACCTGTAGTGTTTGACGCCGAGATGATGTTACCCATAGTCAACGCACTCTTTCCAAACCGACCCAAGCAGAATTTTTCATCCCTTCTCAACACGAACGAGGCTCCCCCTTTCACCGACGAGGAATTAGTTAAGGCTTGCACTTCGATGAAGAATAGAAAGGCGCCAGGCCCGGATGGAATTCCTTCGGAGGCCCTTAAGGTGGCCGTTACAACATCCCCTGATGTCATGCTACACATGTACAACGCATGCCTTAAAGAGGGTACTTTCCCCGATGCCTGGAAGGTACAGAGATTGGTTTTGATTCGAAAAAAAAAGGCGATCCTTCTTGTCCATCTGCATACCGACCCCTGTGCATGCTGGACACCGCGGGGAAGCTGCTTGAAAGGCTGCTTCGGAGCAGATTAAATAATGTAATAGAGAGCGCAGGCGGACTAGCAACCAGACAGCACGGCTTCCGCACTGGCAGATCGACGATAGGAGCCGTCAAAGAAATAGTCCAAACTTTTAAGGAGGCTCAACGAAAAAACCATTACTCTAGGCCCATCGTAGTACTGATCACCTTAGACATTAGAAACGCGTTTAACTCTGCGCGCTGGGAGGAGATCCTCCATGCCTTGGAACGAAACTTCGCAACCCCGGACTATCTGATGCGGATTCTGGGAAGTTACTTCACGAATAGGATTCTATCCTACGATACCCTACAAGGCCCAAGAACAAAGAGGATGACATGCGGAGTGGCGCAGGGGTCCGTCCTCGGCCCGGTGCTGTGGAACGTCTTCTACGACGGGATTCTGCGGCTGCAGATGCCTGACGGAGTTTTTCTTGTGGGCTACGCGGACGATTTGGCTGCGGTGATCCAGGCACGGAACGAAACCGAGGCTCAGAGAAGTATAAACAGAGTAATGAGAAGGACAAGCTGTTGGATGATGGACCGCGGTCTGACCCTTGCGGCTGATAAAACGGAAATCATCCTGCTTACTGGACGCCGCATACCGCTGGAGATAGGTTTCAAAGTTCAAGAGACCGAAATCGTCAGTCGGAAAGCCCTGAAATATTTGGGGGTAACGCTCGACAATAGACTAACATTCCGAGATCATGTGAGGTGTGCCTGCGATAGAGCGGCAAAAATTACAACAATGCTGAGTCGCATAATGGGAAATGTTGGCGGACCGACTGCGACCAAGCGCAGACTACTTATGGAGGTCTCAAATGCCATAATGTTATACGGCTGCGAGATCTGGACCGATGATCTAAGGCAGGATAGCCGCAAACGTCTCATATCAGTCCAAAGAAGAAGTGCCCTGCGGATTACATCTGCGTATAGAACAGTGTCAGGACCTGCGGTGCTTGTAATCGCTGGCATACCCCCCCTTGACCTACTAGCTGCGGAAAGAAAGGAGGTATATGAAACAAAAGACGCAGTGGAACCGATACAAGCGCGTAAGCAGGCTAGAATGCATACCTGTGATAAATGGCAGAAGCTATGGGACGAGGAAACCCGAGGCAGGTGGACGGCTCGACTGATCCCGCGTATTCAGATTTGGCGTGATCGAAAGCACGGCGAAGTCAATTACTACATTACCCAAATCCTAACGGGGCACGGATATTTTTGTAAATACCTCTGGAACATCGGAAAAGTAAATAGCCCTGCTTGCCCATATGCGGATGGGCTGACAGATGACGCCGAACACACAGTGTTCCACTGCCACAGATGGAAAACCGAAAGGGAAGAGTTGACGGCAAATGTAGGCCCTATAGCACCCGACACGCTGGTCAACAAAATGATTAGTGACGAAGCGACTTGGACAACAATCGTTACCTTTTTGACGAAGGTCCTCACCCAGAAGAAACTTGAAATGGATGTCGCCCTAGTCCATCTACACGAAGCTGAGAGGGCTCCCCGATAGGATGAATAGCCTTTTCTGATCCTTTATTCGACGCTACTACAACTACCAGCTGAAGCCGGAGGGGGGAACCCCGATGGGACGAAGAGCCCCCCTCCGATACCTGTAAGTTTACGGTTTTATATGCAAACCTAGAAGTAATCATATATTTTTAATTTTGTATACGTACCTGGACCCGACGTGAAGTTGATCCAACTGCTGAAGTCGGAGGGGGGATCCCCGACGGGACGAAGAGCCCCCCTCCGATACCTACGTACCTGGACCCGACGTGTAGCTGATCCAACTGATGAAGACGGAGGGGGGATCCCCGACGGGACGAAGAACCCCCTCCGATGCCTGTAAGTTAACGGTTTTAAATGCAAACGTAAAAGTAACCATATGTTTTTATTTTGTTATACGTACTTTAACCCGACGTGGAGTCTTCGATGCCTACGTACCTGTATTTGACGTGCAGTAGATCCACTAAAATACTGAAGAATCACTGAAGACGGATGGGGGATCCCCAAGCACACGAAATGCTCCGATGAAATACCCAGAAGGGTGGTCCCGGAGCTGGGGAAAGAGGGGGAGTTTTTAGTGGGTAACTTAGGGACTAGAGTCCCACACTTCCGGCCGAAATATTTCCCAACACATCACCATCTACAAGCGCCAACAGTAGGCCGGGGTGCGTAACGCATTTTCTCCTCCTCAGCGCACAAAAAAAAAACACCCTGTACAAATAAGCTAGAAACGTGCTCTATTATGTGTTAAACTTATTTCCCAAATTTCATTTTCCATGCGTTTTTAGTACTCGAGATAAAAAAATTAAACCAAAATTTACCCCCTACTTTGCTTCCCATGGGAGTCGAAATAGCTCATAGTTCATACAAGAGAGTACCCTTAAATTTTACTAAAGAATAACCCGTGAAATTTGGATACGTCATTCAGATACACCTGTATATAATTTGATCAGAATTATATTTTAATTGACAATTGATCAATTTCCTCGATGTTTTAATGCTGCCCAATTTTTCTTTTATAAAATTTTTAATTCGTGTGTGTTGTAGTAATAACGGCTATTATTTACAATGTAGAAATTGTTACTAAGTTTATTAAAAGTTTTAAAGCGAAACATGCCATTAAGAAAGAAAATAAAATANTTAGTGACGAAGCGACTTGGACAACAATCGTTACCTTTTTGACGAAGGTCCTCACCCAGAAGAAACTTGAAATGGATGTCGCCCTAGTCCATCTACACGAAGCTGAGAGGGCTCCCCGATAGGATGAATAGCCTTTTCTGATCCTTTATTCGACGCTACTACAACTACCAGCTGAAACCGGAGGGGGGAACCCCGATGGGACGAAGAGCCCCCCTCCGATACCTGTAAGTTTACGGTTTTATATGCAAACCTAGAAGTAACCACATATTTTTAATTTTTTATACGTACCTGGACCCGACGTGAAGTTGATCCAACTGATGAAGACGGAGGGGGAATCCCCGACTGGACGAAGAACCCCCCTCCGATGCCTGTAAGTTAACGGTCTTAAATGCAAACGTAAAAGTAACCATATGTTTTTATTTTGTTATACGTACCTTAACTCGNCCAGTTTTTGATTGCAAAGTAACCTCCACGGATAAACAAAGTTGATGGTGAACGTCCACAAATTCGTAATTAAGCAACATCTTAGCTAACGCAATTTTCATCGAAACCATTGCGTACAATTTTCCAATACAATTCCGAACACCAAGATTAAAAGGTGCATAGCTATATTTATTTGGGTTCAAATTTTCCGGAAGAAACCGTTCGGGAATAAATTTTTCAGGATCTGGATATAATTCAGAGTCAACATGCATCATAAACGGGATCATAAAAACCATTAATCCTTTGGGTAACGTGGTTTTTTCGTAAGGTACATCTTCTTCAAGAGTTCGTAAAAATACTGGAGCAGTCGTATTTAATCTCATCGATTCTTTGATAACTAAATCCAAATATTTCATCTGCATTACTTGTTGGTTCGTTATTGTTTGGTGGATGTCTTCGCCCAGGATTGAGTGAACTTCCTCGAATGCTTTTTGCTATAAATTTGATTAAATAGTTTTAAATGCTTGATTTAAATTAATAATATTTATTATACTTGTATTTCGGGGAATTTTGCTAAGTGGTAAAGCATAAACGATAATGTTACTGCAGTCGTGTCTACGGCCTAAAATATAAATTAATTATACAGTGTGTCCCCGGATAGGTGAAACGACTCTTATAAAATGTAAATTTTTTTCGATATTAGCTGTCATCTTTTGGGGTTCAGGCCTGCTTGATTAAAGACTAATTTTGAACATATTTTCAAATTTTAAAAAACAAGTGAGTGTTGATACTGAAGCTAAAACTTCTTGTGTGTCAGGTAAAGTACCTTTTCTGTTTACAGTATGGTAAAATGTTACTAAGAAATTTTATTCAGAATGAAAAGTTATGGCCATATGCAAATTTTCATCAGCCTACTTTGATAAAACCTATTGTTTATTATTTTCGTCAATAGTACCTTATTACGACTTTTTGTTTTGAGATTCAGATTATTAGGGAGAAATAAACAAACCGTTCTGAAAATGTTCACAAGAAATTAAGTGTGTGTTCGCCCACAAAGGAAAACAGTTGATCATAGTTAATCAGTTTCATCATAATTTTTTTTTCTTAGAGTGAATACTTCCTGCTGTAAGAAATCTTTTGATTAAACGCCAACAAGTACTTCTTTTAATTGCAGTATTTGGAAATTTTTCACAAAATAAAGCAATAATCGGTTTTTTCNAACGGGTCTAAAGATTGAACTTTTTTGCAATTTTTTGGTGTATATTTTAAATTTTTTCCGCCATTTTTAAACGAGTTATGACGTCATCGAAGTTTTTTTTAAATGGAACACCCCATTTTTTATATCGGAATTTGAAAGAGAACTTTTTTCTGAATTATGTGCAATAAATATTAATATCGGTTACATAAGAAAATTTTCGAGAAAAATTAATTTAAAGTTTTATTATTTCTCATTCATTTGAAATATAGAAAATAGCAGTAGCAGTGCGTAACCATGGCAACCAATTGTTTTGATTTAACATTTTCAAGTGTCAAAATTCAATTTGAATTGAATTATTTATTTAAATTAATTATTATTACTATTATACTTGAGATACAAAAGTAGCAATAGCTTAAAAAAAACGCAAACAGAAAATAAGATATCAAAAATTAAACAATTTTTTTAAATTGTTGTTTTGTCTTCTTAACATCGTATGATAATGTTATTTATTTTTGTTTTTTCTACATTTTTCGAGGAATCTGAGCCCTCATCATCAGGAAGAAATCCTGTTACAATTATAAATGTTCATTATTATTATCTTAACTACGTTTTAAATTATCTAAGGTTATGTACTTTCCTTGGTTCTCTCAAGTAGCACATTGGCCCTGCAACATCATCTTCCCTTAAGCTACACTCCCATCCTAACTTTTTATTGACATTTATCGCGGGTGATATAAATTTCTTTTTGTTATCATTGCGTTTTCCTGAGCGGCGATTAAATTTTCGACCCGGTGACCTTGACCGGACTGGTTGTGATCTAAATAAATAAGATAAAATAAAATCATGGCCGATAAATGGTAATGTTTGAGACAAAGTTAAATGCAGCTTTATAAGGAAAAGCTGGCGACACTCCGCTTATTACCCTGGAACACCTGGTTAAGGAATATTATGAATTTAAAGACCATATTATTGGGTGTTTGAATGATATTAAATCTCTAATTGATGGATTGGAAGTACGCGTGGATGACTTGGAAACGTATTCTCGCCGAAATTGCTTACTTATACATGGCATAGATGAGAGGGAAAAAGAGGATACTGATGCTGTAGTGGCGAATTTCTTTGAGCAATATCTTAAGGTACCCGGTTTAACTTTCGATTTAAATCTCCTGGATAGATCACATAGAATTGGTCCAAAGAAGAAAAAAATTGGATCCTCTGCAACAGCTAGACCCATCACAATCAAACTGATTTCTTATATGGATCGCAAAATTATATGGTCTAATAAGGAACTGTTGAAAGATACGAAGTTTTTAATAACTGAGTCACTGACCAAGAGAAGAATGAAGTTGTACGCTGCCGCGAGAAATACTGTGGGTCCAAGGAATGCCTGGACTGNTGAAAGGTACGAAGTTTTTAATAACTGAGTCACTGACCAAGAGAAGAATGAAGTTGTACGCTGCCGCGAGAAATACTGTGGGTCCAAGGAATGCCTGGACTGCTGATGGGCGTATATTTGTGAGATCTCCAAATAATGAGATTAAGAGAATTAACGAATTAACTGATCTACCTAACAGCTCTGTGGAATCAGCTAAGATGGAACAAAATCGTTACGAGGGGAGAACTCGTCGGCAAGTTAACAAATCATAAATTATCATAGTTATCCTTGATAACAATATTGATATTTTTGCGATGACGGAAACCTGGTTAACTGTTAATATATCCAACTCTTTAGTTAATATTCTTGGCTACAATCTGGTTCCTAGGGATCGTGGGTGTCGCGGGGGAGGTGTTGCTGTGTACATAAGAAGCTCAATACGATTTCAGCTTCTAAACAGTTCCTGCTCTATTGAGCAACTATTTTTTACCGTTGATGCAGGAAAAAAACTCTGTATTACTTTTGGAGTGGTTTATAGGCCCCCTAATTTTAATCTTCCTCTTTTTATCGAAACACTGGAGAGTACCCTTTGTGAGAGTATTGTTACATCTCACTCGACAATTATCGTGGGCGATATTAATGTTGATCTTCTTAAGCTTGATTCTCCCTCAACAACACTTCTTCACTCATTTGCGACTTCTATTGGCTTACATCAGTTAGTCACCGAACCCACAAGAATTACGCAAAATTCGCAAACTTTACTCGATCCAGTTTTTACAACAAATGATCAGCTGTTTACTAGTATTGATGTTGTAAATGAACCTAATATATCTGATCATGAACTAGTAAAATGTAAGCTGGCATTTGATATCGGTAGGCCTGCTGCAATTTATCAAAATAATGTAAACCCTAGAGTGCAGATAATGCAAGCTTTTATGCCTGTTGATGAACATGAAGTATCTATCATAATTAATAACATTAAAACTGCAGCAGTTTTCTCATTCCTTATATTACTCACGTAATAAACGCTGCTATTCATCAATCAGTTTTTCCGGATGCCTGAAAGATGGCTGAAGAAGTAATTGCATTACCTAAAGTATCTTCCCCTTCTGCCCTAAGAGATTTTAGACCGATCAGTATCCTACCAGTAATGTCAGAAATTTTAGAGAGAGTCTTGGAAAAGCACACTGCGAAAGGTATAGTATACTGCCAGATCAACAATCTGGGTTTCGTTCGGGTTTCAGCTGCGCAACAGCTTTATTGAACCTTACTGATGATGTATTTGCTTCTAGAGAGGCCGGGCAAGCCGCACTTTTGTTATCGTTGGACTTCACCAAAGCATTTGATACAATAAATCATAATATACTTGCATCTAAACTTAATTATTTTGGTCTTGGAAATCAAGCTGCAATTTTGATAAAGTCATTTTTGTCGGACAGGTCTCAGGTTGTGAAGATTAATAGTCAAGTGTCGAGCGCTCTGTCTGTTACTCGTGGAGTCCCTCAGGGGTCCATTTTGGGGCCACTATTGTTCTCTATTTATACATCTGATTTTGACCAGGTTCTCGAGCATTCGCAGATTCACTTGTATGCAGACGATACACAGCTTCTGCTGAATTTTAATCCAAATAATTGGGTTGATGCCTGCATAAAATTTAACTCAGATATAGCATTATTTTCTGATGTTGCGAAACGCCATGAACTTGTGCTAAATCCATTTAAGTCTTCTGTTCTTCTGTTTTGCGGTAGTGTCACAAGGAGAGCGATTAAGCCTTTGATATCCGGTCAATTGGTGGTGGATGGCGAACCTCTTACTGTTTCTGATGATATAAAAATTTTAGGAGTCACATTGGATCATCAGTTGAGGTTTGAGGAGCATGTGGCCAGGTGCTTGAGGGGTGGGTATGGCGCCCAGCGTCTCTTGTATGCCCATAGGGATGTCTTAAGTAAAAAATTAAAAATTATGCTGTGGTTCTAAGCAAATTAAATCACTGCGACGTTGTTTATAGTCCAAATTTAACGGAGGCGAGTGAGCGTCGTATCCAGAACCTCCAGAACGGTTGTCTAAGGTTTATTTACGGAATTCGTAAATATGACAATATTAGTCATAAGTTGGCAGAGACTGGGTGGTTGAACATGAAGAACAGACGTAAACTGCATGCAATATCTATATCGTATCTGCTTTTCCTACCAGATAGCTAAAACGTACAATAACAATAAAACGAACAAGAACTGTATTTCGTTCAAGAGTAAGTAAGTTTTTTTTATTATTATATTCGAGTTACTAATGTATAGCTTTATACTGGCATATCGTCGTATTTTGTTATTTTGTTTTTTTTCATTTTGTTATTAATATTGTTAAAAACATTCTCATTTTTGCTTTATATATACAGGGTGCCCGGAAATTGCGTTCATATATTTGAAGGGGTAATTCTTCATAAAAAATCATGAAGAAAAGTTCATATAAAGGTGTGTCCTAAAATGCTTCCTAAGGGAGGTAGAGCGCTTTGAAGAAGACGTTCAATATGGGGTTGTTTCTCATTATTTCAAAAACTACTAGGGTTAGAAACACGAAATTTTGCATATTTCCCTTATATTTATTAAGATTTTTAGTGATAGTTTAATACACATGTTTGTGTGCAGTATTTTACTTAGTATTATTTATCTTGAAAACGAAAGGTCGTAGACCATTTTATAAGCAGAACAGTTTTTATGTATTTTTTTCCGTAGATTCTAATTTTGAGGTTAAAATAGTGAAAAGATCAAGGCAAAAAAAAATATTAGAAATAAATTGCGCACCCTATCCCTCATTTCCGCAATTGCACATTCCTTCTAATTTTTCATTCGATTATGGTATTCGCCCCGTAAAAATAGCTAAATATGCAAAATTTCGTGTTTCTAACCCTAGTAGTTTTTGAAATAATGAGAAATAACCACATATTGAACGTCTTCTTCAAAGTGCTCTACCTCCCTTAGGAAGCATTTTAGGACACACCTTTATATCAACTTTTCTTCATGATTTTTTATGTAGAATTACCCCTTCAAATATATGAACGCAATTTCCGGGCACCTGTATATTTTCTATACAGGGTGGTTCAGTTTTTAATCGGGAAACTTTACTAGGATGTAGTACTTGCCAAAATAACACAAATTTTTTATATAAACATAGGGTCGCAATTCTTTTGTTTTCGAGCTATGAGCGATCAAAGTTGAGAAAAAAATTTACATTTTGTTTTGTATTTCGGCTGCAAGTAAACCGTAGAATTTGAAACTTTGTACGTATGTACTACTGGTTAAGAACTTATTTTCAACCATACCTTAAACTTCCCCAGCGCCCTCTTAGGGGATGAAATTCACTACCCCCTTGTTTTTTTTATAACAACTTTTTAACGCTATGGAATATGAACATAAAAAAATATGGGTTGTAAAGCTCACTCTTTAGTGGTACTTTTTTGTCTCTTTAGTATTTTCCTTAAAGTTAATAGTTTCCGTGTAAAAAAATAAAATATCGTGCCATGCACTGCTATGTGCCGCCATGTTTAGCCAAAATTATTCTAAAAGTTTGCTCTGAGAACTTGTAAGTTTCATTTACAGTGAATCCTCATAATTATTGCTGGTTATTAATAATTTTTGACGGTTATTAAGCCAGAGTATCAATTTTTTAATATTGTTTAAAACAACGTAATTTGTTCAGACAGGCATTAATCTTATTTATGGTTTTTCTTATGAAAATCACAATTAATTGGTGTTATTTAGTTAGTACTAGATCCTAGTAAGTGCACAACTTCCATAGCCACCTATAAAGAAAAATTTTTTTTAATAATAGCAGCGCTTTACAGTACAATGTAGCATATTTTATTTTTTTACGTTAAAACTATTATTTTTAAGGAAAAAACTAAAGAGAGAAAAAAGTACTAGTAATGAATAAGCTTTACAACCCATATTTTTCTTTGTTAATATTCCATGGCGTTAAGAAGTTGTTATAAAAAAATCAAAGGGGCTGTGAATTTCATCTCCTTAGAGGGCGCTAGGGAAGTTTAAGGTATGGTTGAAAATAAGATATTAACCAGTAGTACATACATACCAAATTTCAAATTCTATGGTTTACTCATACCCGAAATAAAAGATAAAATGTAAATTTTTGGCTCAACTTTGACAGCTCATAGCTCGAAAACAGAAGAGTTGCGACCCTATGTTTATATAAAAAACTTGTTTATTTTGGCAAGTACTACGTCCTAGTAAAGTTTCCCGATTAAAAACTGAACCACCCTGTATATTCTGGATTAAGTGGAAGAGCAGTTGGTTAATAACCAAACTGAACTTCGTCCAGAAAATAAGTCTATTTTCTAAGAGTATATTATTATTTTCTTTCCTTTTTTTTGCGACTTATTAATAAAGGCATTATTATTATTATTATTATTATAAACTCCACAATACTACTCAAAATAATCTCATTAACGCACAATACATTGTTTCAAATCCAATTTTGACACTTGGAAATTTTAAATCAAAACATTTGGTTGCCATGGTATAAAAAATGGGGTGTTCCATTTAAAGAAAACTTCGATGACGTCATAACTCGTTTAAAAATGTCGGAAAAAATTTAAAATATACACCAAAAAATTTAAATCTTTTATAAATTTCATAACAAACATTCTTACAACTCCAATCCCAACAGTTACTTGGTCCTCAATAAATTCATCCGTGCAATTAGTACTAAATAAAATATCTATGTATATTGGTCTCCTTTCTATTTTTACACCGCTGTTAAATTCTTTGCGCTTTTTTTCAATTAATTTCTTGACGATTTTGTGAAAAATTTTTAGTGTGTTTCTTTCCTGCCAATAAATTTTCGTGAATATTTGTGTTATAGAAAAGTAGCTAAGTGGTGAAACAACTTTTTTCGCACCTATATTCATCAATAACTTAATACATTTTCCCATGACCTTCTTATCAAATTCAAATTCGGTATCGCCAAACAACGTTTCTGTGAAAATACATTTAATTTTATTTGAAACAATAAAAAGTGAAAATAAATAAGTAAACGAACCGAGAGACTGTTCAAAAGTAAAATCCTCCAGAATGTGTCCAACCTCAACCGATTCATTGTTTATTTCCACTTTTAACTTGTTAATTAAATTTTCTGAATGCTTATTAAAAATTTTGTTGTTGTCCATTACATTTTTATAGTCAAGAGATGGATTTAAAAGTTTTCTTTGGCGTCGCCATTCGTCCCCTAGAATTGAAAAATTAATTTGCGAAGCATTAAAATGATGTTTGGTACCGTTCACTATAGCGAGTGAATTTGGTGCCATCTTGCTGAATGCTGCACTGAACACGAAGGGTTTGTTTATGTGTTTTGAGGATCCTAATACGACTGAAAATATTTTAGGATCGGATGTAAGGAGAGTTGGGAATGGTCCTATCATAGCAAAAATATTTCTCCCCATTTCTTTAATATATGATTGTAGAGCGTTATAAATACCTTAAAAATTAATAATTAAAAAAACGATTATTTTTCTTCTTTTCGATACTTACCAACAGTATTTCGCATCTTGTAGGTGATCCCTAAAAGGGGCAACTGGGTCGGGGTAGGAAACATTTTCAAATACTTTTTGTATTTATAAAATGTAAAATACCACCATAACGTTAGCGAAAAAATCGCAATAATTATCGCAGCTACAAACTCCACAAAAGGCATTGTAAATCTGAATGTTGTTACCAGGCGTAATTTTGGTATAGATACTTATATAGCAATTGGATATCCAATTATTACTACGATTATTCCAAACATATCGTTGTTAGCTATTTATTCGAATATAACAATTCAGCAGAATTAACTGCAATTTAAAAATAATCTCGTTGAGACGTAATTTTGGTGCGAACTTTGCTACGAAAAAATTA